AATGTAATGCAAGAGAGCAATAGCCAATTACAATATCACCAAGTACTTTGTATATAATTTGAATGTTGTAATGAAAGAGAGCAATAGCCAATTACAATATCACCAAGTACATGGCATATAATTTGAATGTAATACAAGAGAGCAATAGCCAATTACAATATCACCAAGTACTTTGCATATAATTTGAATGTTGTAATGCAAGAGAGCAATAGCCAATTACAATATCACCAAGTACTTTGCATATAATTTGAATGAAATACAAGAGAGCAATAGCCAATTACAATATCACCAAGTACTTTGCATATAATTTGAATGTTGTAATGCAAGAGAGCAATAACCAATTACAATATCACCAAGTACTTTGCATATAATTTGAATTAAATACAAGAGGGCAATAGCCAATTACAATATCACCAAGTACTTTTGCATATAATTTGAATGTAATACAAGAGAGCAATAACCAATTACAATATCGCCAAGTACTTTGCATATAATTTGAATGTAATGCAAGAGAGCAATAACCAATTACAATATCGCCAAATACTTTGCATATAATTTGAATGTAATGCAAGAGAGCAATAACCAATTACAATATCACCAAGTACTTTTGCATATAATTTGAATGTAATACAAGAGAGCAATAACCAATTACAATATCACCAAGTACTTTGCATATAATTTGAATGTAATGCAAGAGAGCAATAACCAATTACAATATCACCAAGTACTTTTGCATATAATTTGAATGTAATACAAGAGAGCAATAACCAATTACAATATCGCCAAATACTTTGCATATAATTTGAATGTAATGCAAGAGAGCAATAACCAATTACAATATCACCAAGTACTTTTGCATATAATTTGAATGTAATACAAGAGAGCAATAACCAATTACAATATCACCAAGTACTTTGCATATAATTTGAATGTAATGCAAGACGACAGTAGCCAATTACAATATCACCAAGTACTTTGCATATAATTTGAATGAAATACAAGAGGGCAAGAGCTAGTTACAATATCACCAAGTACTTTGCATATAATTTGAATGTTGTAATGCAAGAGGGCAATAGCCAATTACAATATCACCAAGTACTTTGTATATAATTTGAATGTAATGCAAGAGAGCAATAGCCAATTACAATATCACCAAGTACTTTGCATATAATTTGAATGTTGTAATGCAAGAGGGCAATAAGTAATTACAGTATCACCAAGTACTTTGCATATAATTTGAATGTAATGCAAGACGACAATAGCCAATTACAATATCACCAAGTACTTTGTATATAATTTGAATGTAATGCAAGAGAGCAATAGCCAATTACAATATCACCAAGTACTTTGCATATAATTTGAATGTAATGCAAGACGACAATAGCCAATTACAATATCACCAAGTACTTTGCATATAATTTGAATGTAATGCAAGACGACAATAGCCAATTACAGTATCACCAAGTACTTTGCATATAATTTGAATGAAATACAAGAGGGCAATAGCCAATTACAATATCACCAAGTACTTTTGCATATAATTTGAATGAAATACAAGAGGGCAATAGCCAATTACAATATCACCAAGTACTTTGTATATAATTTGAATGTAATGCAAGAGAGCAATAGCCAATTACAATATCACCAAGTACTTTGTATATAATTTGAATGTAATGCAAGAGAGCAATAGCCAATTACAATATCACCAAGTACTTTGTATATAATTTGAATGTTGTAATGAAAGAGAGCAATAGCCAATTACAATATCACCAAGTACATGGCATATAATTTGAATGTAATACAAGAGAGCAATAGCCAATTACAATATCACCAAGTACTTTGCATATAATTTGAATGAAATACAAGAGGGCAATAGGCTGAATAGCCAATTACAATATCGCCAAGAACTTTGCATATAATTTGAATGTTGTAATGCAAGAGGGCAATAGCCAATGACAATATCACCAAGTACTTTGCATCTAATTTAAATGTTGTAATGAAAGAGGGCAATAACTAATTACAATATCACCAACTACTTTGAATATAATTTGGGTATTGTGATTTTATAAGATGTAAGTCAAGTTTGAAATCATACAAGATATGAAAATTGCAAAAAATTTTTGTAAAATATAGCTAGATGGATGGCATCACAATGTGCTTGGAACAATTTAGCTGTAAATGTGATGTTCATGTAATAAGATCAGCTCTGCACTGAAAATAATAAACCTATAAAATAAAACCCAATGTTGCAGGCATCCCTTCATATACATGATGAACAAACCCTCAGAGTAATACACTTACAGGTGATAACAATGATTGTAGGTCAACCACATTAAATCACTGTAACATGCTACATTGTTACAATTCATTCAATCTTGTTGATTTTTATTCAATATTACATTATATAAGTTTGAATAAAACCAAATTCAGAAAACTAAATTGTTTCCATCAAGTTAAGTATAAAATGTTACAATGAATTAATCAGAAAACATTCCTACCCCTCTATGACCATAATCAAAAGGTTGATAACTAGGGTCAGAAAATCTGTTGTTATGTCATAAAAATCTTGCTAAATCCATATATCTGGTTCTGACATAAGACGTACATACATATATACATTTGCTCTACTAGCAGTGTATTATCAGCTTACATTGGTGATAATTTGTCACATTTATACATTTGCTCTACTAGCAGTGTATTATCAGCTTACATTGGTGATAATTTGTCACATTTTTAATCACTTAATTTTCTGATAAGAATCGATGCTTTGTTAACACTTTAGTCAAGACTCAGTTTTGTGTTGTTGTGTTTTTAATGAAGCAAAAATACATTGTTTTACCAGTTGGGTTTTTAATGTTACCAAAATACATATGAAAATAGAGCTAATACACATAAACATTTAGAAGTAGCACTCCATGTAAATAAATGGATAATTAATATTTTCTATATTAGAGACACATTCCCACCTTCATTATAGCATCAATGCATTTATTTGTTAATAATTTCTCTATTAGAATTAAAACTTTGATGAAAGCTCATTACCATAATGCCAGATATGATCTTTCTTACGTTTAAACACATAAATATTACAAATATATTTAGTAAAACTTTCATGGGTTGCCAAATAATTGTAATCTTTACTAGTGAGCCCCTAGTTATCAACCCTTGCAATAAAATACTTGAAACCTTAATATCCTTATTACACTTATATCGTCAATAGAGTTAGAAAAAAATATAAATGCTTTTTACACATTAAACCACACATTCCACTACTGCATATGAACCTGGCAGGATGCCATGCAAATGCATAAATGAGTGAAAATATGACATTTAAATAAAATATTAAATAAAATATGTAAACTAGTATAACATGTTTATATGAAAATTAGGATAATTTATGCAAATTAGCATGAAATATAGATGGTTAATTAATGATGGACATTACTTGAGAGTCTAGTCGTTGCGTCCTTATGCAATGCATATTTTTGAAGATCAACTAAACAATAAGAAAACAAATAAATCAATGATAAGAGAGAGCAGATGAAGAAATTAAAAACTCAACCAAATTATTCCTGTTATCAGTCAGTGAAGATAATCAGATTTACAAACAATATAATTTATTCAGTTTTGTTTTTCAGAATTCTAAAAGCGACTGACCACATGAATGAAGAGAAGTCCGAGATCAGAACAAATATATGGTGTGAGAAAAGACATAGAACACATAAATAAAATGCGAGTGCAAAGCAGGGAGAGACAGACAACAAGAGAGAGAGAGGAGGAGGGAGTACCTTGTCCCCGACAGCAGCGGAGAGGATAACAGACAAGTTCTATGAAAGATAAGAATATGTATTGATACATACTAATGGTTATACATGCACGCCAGGACACATTCTCCCTACAAGATCCAAAGTTTGAAAGATATCCTTTGCGGCTATAATCTATGCAGAACATCTACAATACATTGAGTATAGATGTGCAGTGAACGCAACCACAGCTTAGAAACTATCCCTTTTTAAGATAAGCAGAATGTTTACAATATGCCTAGCATGGAAGCATGATGAATTACTCTCTTTTCTGAGATATGTAGAACATCTACAATACATCTAATATGGATCCACAGTGCTATGATAGCTTAGAAACAAAGCTTTTGCTGAGGTATGCATAACATCTACAATACGCATGAATGCTCAGTGAATGCAACCATAGCCTAGAATCTATGCCTTTTCCAAGGTATGCAGGTCTAAACAGGCTTAGAATAGATGCTCAGTGAATGCAACCATAGCCTAGAATCTATGCCTTTTCCAAGGTATGCAGGTCTCAACACGCTTAGAATGGATGCTCAGTGAATGCAACCATAGCCTAGAATCTATGCCTTTTCCAAGGTATGCAGGTCTAAACAGGCTTAGAATAGATGCTCAGTGAATGCAACCATAGCCTAGAATCTAAGCCCTTTCCAAGGTATGCAGGTCTCAACACGCTTAGAATGGATGCTCAGTGAATGCAACCATAGCCTAGAATCTATGCCTTTTCCAAGGTATGCAGGTCTAAACAGGCTTAGAATGGATGCTCAGTGAATGCAACCATAGCCTAGAATCTAAGCCCTTTCCAAGGTATGCAGGTCTCAACACGCTTAGAATGGATGCTCAGTGAATGCAACCATAGCCTAGAATCTATGCCCTTTCCAAGGTATGCAGGTCTAAACACGCTTAGACAGTTAATGCAATCATGGCCAGATATTGACAATGAATTTTAAAGAAAATACTGTCATCATATCATTGGCCCACTCAATCCTCTGTCATCATGGGGAATTTTTAACACGTCACTGAATAGAAAGTATGTTACTTCACAAAGTTTTGATTTGGCAGGCTCATATATAGTGTATGAACCCATTTACCGGTACATGGCTAGTAAGATAAACCATGCATCAAGGGTAAGCAAGGTACGCATTTATTGTAGCAGCCTGCATACCTCAGAATCTTTATAGATTTACGGCTAGCAAAGTTTTTACTTTCAAACAAATGGATCATAATTGCAAGGAAAATGCAGACTTGTTATTATTAAAAGGTTGGTAAGTAGAAATATGGCAGCAGTTATTACCATAATATTGAATCATGTTATTTTAGACACATATTACATAGGAGTACTGGCAATGCACATCAAATGCAGCAAATACAGTATACATGAAATGGCTCATGGGTGGCTTCTGGTTTACCCATATATAGCTAGTTGATATCATTGGAAGACATTTGCCACATTAATGCAACATGTAATCCAATAGAGAGAACAGTCACATTTCCTAGAAATGGATAGCCACATCATGGACAATATACAATATGTAATTATGAGTGGACATAAAAAGTAACTTTGAACAAAAATGTACAGAGGACAGATAAACAGTCTTAAAAGTTTAAGATCTATAATATGGAGATGAAAGGTGAATGAAGACTTCATATTACAATAACATTATGGTAAATAAAGAATGCAACATTTAAATAAATTACAAGACACCAATCACCTCCCTACTAAAACTGCTACCACATGAAACTGGCAACTGGCAGGTTTGGAATCTCATAAAACCTTGCAGACTTAGACTAAAATAAAACAAGATTACCAAACTGCAATATCAACTTGGACAACTTGTTATTAAACTTTACAGTACCTACACTTGTACAACACTAAATTCAGTGGTAACATATTTTCATTGGAAGATGATAGTTGCCATAGAGACACACATGCCATTACGTCACATAACAAGACAGAGAATGACGATATGATGTCTCAGCCCAAAGAATGCACAAGTTTAACTGTGATTATTTGGATCCCTGTTAACAAGACAAACAATAAATCAATGATTCCCTCCACCCTACTCGTACATATTAAGATTTTTACTTGCAATGTGGCAGCCTATATACCTTTTCAAAGGCAGCATAGTATCCTATCATCTTGGCTCCTACTTCCAGCTGATTATGTACCCTCACAGCGCATTAAATTATCATAGGGACACATCATTTAAGTTGCATTCAAATAGAAATGTCTTTGCTTATTATGTTCATCAGACCTTTAAAACAGTGATATAGTCGTAACCCCTGATGGCTGGCGATGGACAGTCGCAGCTTGATAAGAGTGTTTTCAAGTTTCTGTTCAGTACGGCTGATGGGCATGCAGTTGATCAATCTTCATATTGCCAAAATCACTCGCTTTCACTTTTTTAATGTGCATCACATATTGTTCAGAATGAGAGTTGATTTAATGATTGATTGACAGAGTACTGCAAGATTTTATCTCACGTTTCAGTTGTAAAGTTGTAGCACAGTAGAAACCTCTGCATTCAGGGCACTCATATCAAAGATGAATTACAATACTTAACAACACTTAAAACAACATCAGTAGCCTTGTCCTTAATATCAATCCCCTTCTACTTCTAAATGTAAACAACAGACAAACAAACAAGTAAAACACAGTATTACATATATAGAATTATATCATCAATGGAGAGATCATTGGCTACTTTGCAAAGCTATCACTCATTGGTTGATCCCCAAAGAGTAGCATGTTGAAAACCAATGAGAGGAGGTGTTGCATCATCAAATTGAACATTTCAAAACCTCTCATTTATTGGTTGATCCCCAAGGAGAAGCATGTTGAAAACCAATGGGAGAAGGTGTTGCATCATCAAATTGAACATTTCAAAATCTCTCATTCATTGGTTGATCCCAGAGGAGTAGCATGTTGAAAACCAATGAGAGAAGGTGTTGCATCATCAAATTGAACATATCAAAATCTCTCATTCATTGGTTGATCCCCGAGGAGTAGCATGTTGAAAACCAATGAGAGAAGGTGTTGCATCATCAAATTGAACATTTCAAAATCTCTCATTCATTGGTTGATCCCCAAGGAGAAGCATGTTGAAAACCAATGGGAGAAGGTGTTGCATCATCAAATTGAACATTTCAAAACCTCTCATTTATTGGTTGATCCCCAAGGAGAAGCATGTTGAAAACCAATGGGAGAAGGTGTTGCATCATCAAATTGAACAATTCAAAATCTCTTATTCATTGGTTGATCCCCAAGGAGTAGCATGTTGAAAACCAATGAGAGAAGGTGTTGCATCATCAAATTGAACAATTCAAAATCTCTCATTCATTGGTTGATCCCCAAGGAGAAGGATGTTGAAAACCAATGAGAGAAGGTGTTGCATCATCAAATTGAACAATTCAAAATCTCTCATTCATTGGTTGATCCCCAAGGAGAAGGATGTTGAAAACCAATGAGAGAAGGTGTTGCATCATCAAATTGAACATTTCAAAATCTCTCATTCATTGGTTGATCCCCAAGGAGTAGCATGTTGAAAACCAATGAGAGAAGGTGTTGCATCATCAAATTGAACAATTCAAAACTTCTCATTCATTGATTTAGCCAATCACTAGGAAGTCAGTCAACTATATTTCTTTTCCTTTTGCAAAGTACAATAAATATTTCCTACTAGATACTGGATACCATGGAGCAAATATGGTACTACTCAGTAACATTCACTCAGACTAAAATTGGTCTTGGTTAAACAATGACTATTAAACATAGATATTCCTGCAGGATATTCAGCAGGAGCACGTCAAGTGATGAGATTAAAGTTATTAGGCCCCAAATATTAATGACAAGATAACAGATGTATGTTTATCCAGTATCAGTAAGAAGGACTTCATGCAAAATACTGTATTTGCTTTATTAGAAGCGCATCTCCAACAAAAGTGCTACAGTGCAAAAGCACACAGGCTACTAATAGAGCAAATAAGTTAAATTAACATTTGTACAAAGACAAGACAAATAAGAGGTAGTCTTAAATTGTCAATTTTTTTGTTCCAAGTTGACAATTTGAGATCCCTCAACAATTCAATAAAGACAGAAATTTATGTAGATATCAGACACTGTACATGGACACTGAAAGAGAATTAATAGTCAATAGGGGGATGTAGAAACAGAATTTAAATACCGGGTAATAAGGAAAACTCAGTGGGCAATCAGAAACAGAAAACTGCATATGATAGGAGGAGGCAGAAACAAAACAGTGTACAGACACTTTTTCAACTGATATTGGAACCCAGAAACAGGCACAAATTGTGGGCATTTAGCAACAGAGAATATCGGGAGAAGAGGAGACTGGTGAATTAAATAAATATTGAAACCGAACACTAAATAAATAAAAAAACACAATTCAACAAACAACTGAGGTTAAAATTAGAAGACCATAATTTAACAGTTCGGATAATAGAAGCAGTGTAGGGGAAAATATATCGAAACACAGTCACAATTCAGTGTTCATCAATTTCTCATACATGGACATCAATAAAGCAGAGGTTGATAATGCAGTGTAAACCTGGTCATTATCCAACTAGCTTCACAAAGAACCACTCATTATTTTACACTTAATATAAACACAATAAACACAACATATCAGTCTTAATTTTACCTGGAATTTTTCTAAAAACTGCTTTGGCAAGGAAATCTTGAAACCTTTGTGCATAGAAACTAGGTCTACATACAGAGACTGTGTCACCGTCATGTACCATGGCTTTAAAGGTATGTTCTAACTTCTTTTTTAATCTAAAAAGAGAAAATATACATGTACAGAGAACTGCTAAAAACCAGGTGTTTATAGACAAGCTAGGAAATACAACAATTTTACTAAAACAACTTATTTGTTGTGCTTGATCATAGTTGAAGGCAAGTTGTGGTGATACGATATTAGGTACAAGCAGAGGTACATTACTTGGGGTTTGCAATGCGCATAGTTGAAGGCAAGTTGTGGTGATACGATATTAGGTACAAGCAGAGGTACATTACTTGGGGTTTGCAATGCGCATAGTTGAAGGCAAGTTGTGGTGATACGATATTAGGTACAAGCAGAGGTACATTACTTGGGGTTTGCAATGCGCATAGTACTGTTTAGGAACATCATGTCAAGATCCCATTCAAGTCTCATCTCGTAGATAGCGAGACTGATGCTACGACCAATGCAAAGTCCTGATAGTTGAGTCTTTTTAAAATAAATTAACACAAACATTATTTATACTTACTTGAAACACTGTAAAATATCTATAATACCTATAAAAAGTAAAAGTCTTTCCCCCTTGGCATTTTTTGCTGGAATACCACCAGTACTAAAAATAGACAAAATAAGAAATGAAATGTAAAGTCAGATATCTAGATGAGAGAATATTGTTTGTAAAAGTGTACAGTGATAGGAAAAAATGGAACACAGTTTGAGGAGTAAAAATAAGTCTTGTTGCTTTTTTGCTCTTGAGGAGATTGCGATGACCAGTCTAAGGTCTTTGCTAATATGGCTGAGCTTTCTCCACCAATCAGATCACAGTATGCTCAAGCTATGAGAAATTTAGGATGTGAACAGTTACATTTAGAAGGGAGGTTTAAACTGCTTGGAACTTTAGTTTGTTTGGTTTGCAGCAAAAGTTGTGTTGGTTACTAGTATATGACAATTTTGCTATCGGATTTCACACTGGTACTAAAAACACCAGTATTAACGATACCAAAATTAATATGTAACCTACGAAAGTAACCCGGGACAAACATGACTGTAGCTGCAGCTCACAACTTGTGACTTTAAAACCCTGTAAAGGTACTTGTCATTCTATAACCTGTACTTATTAATATACTGCTAACCACTTCCATGAGAGACTAACACCTTAAAGCATTAAATTACAAAAACTTACGGTTCTTCATCATCCTCCTCTTCATCTTGTTCTTGTGTGCGTACAGGATGATCTGTCTGTATAATCTCCCTGGGAGTTGAGAATGCAGCAACACGCTGCCTGTTGTTATAGGAACGTGACCGTGAAAGCACTTGACGACTGGCTTGGTTCTGTGACGTACTTGGTTCCTCCTCTGCAGCTGATTGACTTTCACCTCGCGACGATTCACCTTTGCCGTCAGATTTTTCTAAATCATCTGCATTTTTTTGTCTTAGTTGTTTAAATATACCGGTGTGCATGCCCTCCTGTATGGAGCTCTTACTTGCATTCTGAATCAAAACATAATTATAGTAAAATTACCATGATAAAAATTACCAATATTTGCTCAAAAGCGCTTTCAAAGTGTTTCACCGTAGTCATATTTTAATGATTCAGTAAACAACTAAATCAATTTAGGTTAATACACACTTCTATTTAAGATGTACTTCTAATAGAGCAGACCCTTTGATACCTGTTAAGCCATGATCATAGAGAAAGTCAAAGTGCCATGATCATCGAGAAGGTCAAAGTGCCATGATCATGGAGAAGGTCAAAATGCCATGATCATGGAGAAGGTCAAAGTGCCATGATCATCGAGAAGGTCAAAGTGCCATGATCATGGAGATGGTCAAAATGCCATGATCATGGAGAAGGTCAAAGTGCCATGATCATGGAGAAGGTCAAAGTGCCATGATCATGGAGAAGGTCAAAGTGCCATGATCATGGAGAAGGTCAAAGTGCCATGATCATGGAGAAGGTCAAAGTGCCATGATCATGGAGAAGGTCAAAGTGCCATGATCATGGAGAAGGTCAAAGTGCCATGATCATGGAGAAGGTCAAAGTGCCATGATCATGGAGAAGGTCAAAGTGCCATGGTCATGGAGAAGGTCAAAGTGACATGATCATGGAGAAGGTCAAAGTGACATGATCATGGAGAAGGTCAAAGTGACATGATCATGGAGAAGGTCAAAGTGTCATGATCATCGAGAAGGTCAAAGTGTCATGATCATCGAGAAGGTCAAAGTGCCATGATCACCGAGAAGGTCAAAGTGCCATGATCATCGAGGAGGTCAAAGTGCCATGATCATCGAGGAGGTCAAAGTGTCATGATCATGAAGAAAATCCATGATCATGGAGAAGGTCAAAGTGCCATGATCATGGAGAAGGTCAAAGTGCCATGATCATGGAGAAGGTCAAAGTGCCATGATCATGGAGAAGGTCAAAGTGTCATGATCATCGAGAAGGTCAAAGTGCCATCAATGTACTCAAGTTCACCACACATTAAAAATATCAGCACTACAGACAGTTTGATCAGTTCATATTTACCTTTTCCCTTGCTGCTTGGTCTAAATTATGTATTCCTACGAGTAAACTATAGTCCATTATTTTAAAACTTTCTAAAACCTGTGAAACAGAAACAACATTTTATTACACCTATAACCTATTTTTGACATATTTAAAACACTTATTTTTTTGTTTGGTTAATGGTTAAATGTATTATTTTTACACAACTGTATGTACTTCACATCAAACACATTTTTACAAACAGTGAAATTTGAACACTATCTGAGCATACATGTTCATGATTCGTGAGTGATCACAAAGTTTAAAAAAGAGGCTTGAATCAATGACAAAATCATCAATATTACATTCCTATTAGGGAAAACATCAAAAGTTCAATGTAGGATAAAAAACTGAATCCCTTTATTTTTTTCCAAAATTCCCCCACCCCCACTGAAACTTAATTGATACATATTGATCATGGCATCAGACTACATTCACCATTAAATACAAATTGATAATCGGACAGTAGTATGGCATAGCAGTTGGTCCTAGGTCCATGCCCTGAAATTGACCTCATTTGACGCACATATTTACACTTGGATTAAACCATTTTCTCGTTGTGGATGTGTGTTTTTTTCATTTTCTGTTATTTTAGTCCATGATTGGATAGAAAAAAATACGAAATACAAATACTCCACGATTTTTTGGACTTCATTAAAAAATAAAATCGTTTTTGTAGGATGGAAAAGTTTTTGAGGTCCAAACCTCCCCAACCCCAAACTAAAGCAAATAAGTGTTTTTATCTGACATCGATCTTTTGATCTTAACAAAATTATAATCCTCTTTATATGGGGTCAGGTCAAGACAGTATTTTCAATTCTCATGGATAAAGATTGTATAGATTTGTTGTGTTGCATGTGGTAGATGCATATATAAATGTGTTAGACCATACTTGACAAACTCATGCAACTGAAACTTCTAGTAATTATGATCTGGGTTGATTCAAGTTTATGTAAAATAACAAATATTACAGTCTGACAAAATTCGACAGAGAAGACAACTTACCCGACAATCTCGTGGTATAGTCTTCAACATTAGGGCATTATACGTCTGTCCATCCAACAATAATCCTTCTGGATGTTCTTCAATAAAATCCAAGTCTTTTAACGTTGGACTGCGTTTTGAGCGCTCATATTTTGACGCTCTGCGTTTATACGTTGACCCCTTAAGGTCAAATTTTTGATGCATTTTGATGTGCGAGGGTAATAGATTGTTCATACAACATAATCTAATGTTTTTACCACCACATTGGTAAGTATATAGTCCGTAGAATTTGGGTAACAATGTCCTGGGATTCTGATTAAGATTCTGAAAAACAAACAGCAGTAATTTATAACAAATTAAATTTATTTTTCAATTACTAATATTGTTTTTATTCAAGTAAACTATTTTTATTTAAATCATATAAAAATGTACTAGTGAGAATTTAGGCTATGCAATGTTATGAAATACTTATACCTCACTTACACACTGACATCAAAATCAACAGAATTTCCTAAATTAGACCCAAATCTGTATTAAAGGTGACTGCTTTTATTTGGTTCACAATTATTTACTAAGACTGGATGAGGTTGATATTAAGGTTGTGGCTTGTAATACAGATTTTACTGTGATAGTATACAATGTACTTGCATTCGACTCAGGATAACATGGTGGCTCATATTACATTGAGAAATACCAACCTGTTCAATATCTTGATAAACTATGAAACCTTTTTCGTGATTTTTATTTACCTGTGGTTAATGATGTATTTTTAAATGATGAACATTTTTTTTAGAATCAGAATTCTAC